CGCCGCGGGGAGGTCGCGCGGCGGTGGGGCGGCTGAAGTACGTGGACAACAGTCTCACCTGCTAGGGATGGGGGCTCACCACGTGGTCAGCCAGATCAATGTGGCCGCTTACAGCCTCGCGGCTGGCGGAAGGTTGGTGCACTGCTGGGATTGGCCACCAAGCGTGGAGACAGCAGTGGCATCCTTTGAGTCCCCTTTGCCGCGATGGTCATTGGACGGCCGCGCCTCGTCTTCTTGCGCGGGCCTTTCTGGGTTTCTCCCGATGTGCTCAGCACGTTGCTCCGCCGATGTCGCACGCCAGCGGCACTCGGTGCTATGAGACGTGTCATCCCAGGGCCGCATACAGCTGTATGGCGGTACATGCTTCGGGCCGGCACCCCAGCAGGACGTCGGATTATTGCCTCGCACGCGGGCCAAGGGCATGATGCTACGGGTCCCCAACCAATATTGGATCCGGCAGCGTGCGGGGGACGACGTGCGGGCGGCTGAACATCTTGCTCGAGCTCTACTTTGACGAAAGTGACTTGATGGGCTTGCCCATCCCGGAGTGGTTCGACTCCACGCAAATCCGAGACGGTGATGGGTGCGTCGTGTGATGGTCTCAGGCCCAGTGAGGTAGTGCATCTGACTTCCCGGATCCTGCTGAACAAGCTCCTCTTGTAGCTCGATCGGTCACACCGCCATCGCCGCCGGGGAGAGGGGGGACGACACTGCTTCGGCAGCGTGCACCTCGATCCTGCACCGTGTTTGTTATGACCCCCCCCAATGAACACTCCAGTGAGGGTGGGCGAGACGATCGAGGGGTCCCGTACCATGCGGAATCGACCCTATCCAGTGCTCAAGTGCTCAAGTTGTCCGGCATGCGAGGGCATGCTCGGCCGTTCGGAGTCCCCCCCTCGTAGAGGACGTCGGAGGGAGGGGAGGACGACTGTCTCTGCAGGCGGACCTCAGGTACAAGCCGTCCTCCCCTCGAGACGCGAGGCTCCAGCGCACTCGGGGACCGAGCCCCAGCGTGCACCGTCCCACACGCCTCACGCGGCCTCTGGCTGGAGCGGGATCGCAAGCGAGTCCCCCAGGCCGGCGCGCGTCTTCCGAGAGAGGAGCGGGAGCGAGGGACCTCCTTAGTAAGCCGGCATGCAGGCGCATGCACGGTCGTTCAGAAACTTTCCCAGCCGTTGGAATGGCTCCGCTCCTGCCCCTCACCGGGCCGAACGGGTAGTGGGCGTTGGCGCCGAGGAGGGAGGAGTCGCTGAAGGACGGGTAGTCGTCGGTCATGCGGGGGGGGAGGAGGAGTCGGCGAGCAGCAGGGAGGAGAAATGCCTGAGAGGGTGGGGAGGGAGGCGTGAGGCGCGAGGTGAGGGGCGTGGGGGCGCGGGGGTGGGGCGTGCGCGGCGTGAGGCGCAGGGCGTGAGGCGGGAGGGCGCGGGGGCAAGGAGTTGTGTGTGTGTGTCTGTATGTGTGTGTGTTGTCTGTGTTGGTTTGTTTGTGCGAGGGCAGGGCAGGGCAAGGCAGGGCGGCGGCGAGCGGCGAGCGGCGTCGGCGAGATCGGCGCGACGAAGAGAGGCGATGGTGACATACACGTCGGCATTGTTCACGGCAGCAGCGCCGGTGGCGGCCCCGCGCAGCGGCGGCGGCGCCCTGAGTGAGGCAGACTGCCCTGCATAGCCTGCTGGGAACGCTCCCGACGAGCGGCGCGCCATGCGGGCCCGCCGCGGGCGACGCGGGCGGCGAGCCGACACGCGTGTCGCAGGCGTAGACAGCACTGGCGAAGCGAGGCGGCCGGCGCCGGCCCCGGAGGCGGCTGCAGTAAGAGCAGCGAGGCAGAAGTCACTGTCCAAGGCGTACTGAGCAGGCTGCCATCGAGCAGCGCGCCATGCGGGCCTGCCGCCAGCGACGAGATTGGAGAGCCGACAGGCATCGATGAGGTAGGTACTGAGGAGGGCCATCGCGCCCGAGGCGGTCCGCGCCGGCCCTGCAGGCCGTCACAGACAGCCTGGCGAGGCTGTACAGAATGCCGAGAGCATACTGAGCAGGCTGCCGTCGAGCGACGAGCCATGCTGGCTCGTCGCAGGCGATGAGGTCGAGGAGCCGATGGGAGCGTCGCAGAGGCTGCCGACCACTGCCGTTCGCCCTCGGGCCCAGGGGTGGACGGCAAGCTTCCTGGCGTTTCTGGCGAGCGTCCAGACGTCGCAGAGCATCCGGCAGGCGCGCAGCGACCCAAATTTTTGCTCACCGCACGGCCGTGCGAGCCGTCGGTCGGTGGTGACGTCCCCCATCTTTTCAGTGTATGTTGCTCTTGAGCACTTGAGCACTGGATAGGGTCGATTCCGCATGGTACGGGACCCCTCGATCGTCTCGGCTGCGCGCCTGACTGGTGCGGCCTCCGAGTCGGCGTCTAGCGCGCGTGATAAGGTTTTTGCTCGCCTTCCCTGGGACCCCGTGCTGCGTGACTGTCTCTGTGCGATTTCGGGCCCGGGGTTGTGCGTTTATGTGAACAACACCTCGTGACCACAACTCCGCAGGCGCCTGTTGATGGGTCCAGTGATAGCCCTGGATGGGCAATGCATATGCCTAGTTGGACCTCAGATCGCCCGACCGCGTCCCGGTGCTCTGCGTTCGGATTTGTGACGCCGCCGCACCGCGCCGCGGCCGGGGCCCGCCGGAGGCCGAGGATGGCCGTGGCGGACCGGGACGAGCTCTGGGAGGTAAAGTGTCAGTGTATATATTGTAGAGACCAACCATGTGCACAATATCTTTCAGTCTAGCTAAGCCAGGGGAGGCGATTCCGGGGCCGTGCAGCAGCTTGATGGTGCTTCGCCGGCGTGCGTCCCGGAGCGGTGCCGGACGGGCGGTCCGTGGGACAAAATCGGGGGACAACGCCGACAACGCTCTGATTCGACTTTTAACTTCAAACAAAGCCTACCGCACGCGCCGCGACGCGGCGCGTGCGGTAGGCACTCGGGATTTTGTCAGATCGGCGTGTTCACGCGGGGATCGTGTCCCCCACAACCTGCCCAACCATTCGCGGCGACGAGTAACAACAATAACAAACAGTAACAGCACGGGCTGGGGTGAACACTTGAACAACGTTACGTTGAGGATTTCAGCCAACAATAGTGCTGTTAGACCCAAAGTTAACGTGTTAGCCAGTTAGGCAGCCCTCTCGTACGACACCTACCTACCGTGCTACGAGACACACGACGAGAGAGCGCCCCCCGCGCGGCGCGTCCCGGCGAGTGTGAGCTGTGAAAGAGCGATCGCGCGCCAGTACACACCGGGTGTTTGTGAATGTTGCATGTACGAACGAATTTACGCGCCACATCGCGGCCATGACAACAACACAATACACATGACACATATATCATCTTCGTAAGGCACGAGCGACCTAGGCGCACGAGCCTCGTACGCCGCGGCGTGTCAGTACGGGACACACCCCGACCCGGGAAATCGTGGGGATCACAGAGTCAGAGAACACAGCTGCGGGAAGGGAGCAGAGACGTCGGGGAGAGTCGAAAGCTGGAGCTCGTGGCGTCGCGAGAGAGACCACCGACTCCTCACGCCGTCGTTGCGTTCAGAATAGAGTCAGCGCAGACGGCGCCTCTCCTCTTTGCGCACACCTCGGTGTAGACGACGCTGAAGAAGGCGGACGAGGCTGCGATGACGAAGACGTGCCAGATGGCGACGTGGCCCTCGAGCCGCCTGATGCCCCACGGCACCAGGCCGACGGTGTAGAGGACGCCCCCAGTCACAAACATCTGGCACGCCCACCGGCTGAAGTTGGCCGCCACGCTCTCCCATGCGATGAGCACGCTCCACCCCATGAGGAGGAAGCAGACCACGTGCAGCGGCAGCCGGTCGAGCCATCCGCGCGACGCCTTGGCCGCGATGTCGAAGACCCCGACCGCCCACACAAACGAGAGGAGCCGCCACGCGCAGGTGCAGGCCATCAGCGGCGTATACGTGCCCACGATCAGCAGGACGATCCCCGCGTGGTCCGCCTGGCTGAGCTCGACCGCCCGGTGCTTCCACACGACCTGGCCGCTGTTGTACACCGCCGAGCACGAAATCATCGCGAGCAGCGTGAAGCCGTACAGCGCGACCGACCCCACGATCTCTGGCGGCGGCCGGAGGTCCCACAGCCGTAGCGCGAGCAGCAAGTTGCCGGCGGCGGCGAGGAGGATGCCCACCGCGTGCACCAGGAAGTCAGAGGCGAGCTCGCGCCGGCTGTAGAACCGCTGTAGCGGATACCACTCGATGGTGTCCTTCCAAGGCCCAGGAGCGGAGCCTCGGACCAGCATCATTGTCGACGCGCGGGCAGTCTTTCCGACCACCTGCGGCGTCCTGACTCACGCCACGGCTCGTCGCTCACGCCACGGTCGTCGCTCACGCCACGGTCGTCGCTCACGCCACGGCTCGATGCTCACGCCACGGCTCTGCAAGACACCGCGGCCGAGCCAGCGGACACCCTTGTTCCTCGTCGGCGACAAAGAATAGTCGGTCTTGAGAGAGATTTTCAATACCAAACAACTCTAACACTCACACGTCATTGTTTGTCGGTCTTTGTTTGTCGGTCTTGTGACCCCTGCGCTAATACGCTCACACAAAAAAAGGGGGCTGTGTGTTGTGTCCAAGAAGCACAAGCAAGCAAAAGACAGTAGAGAAGGGAGAGATAGCAACGACAGTCAGAAGCCAGCGCTCACGCTGCTCGTGAAACGGGTGGGGACTTCGGGACTTGGCGTGTCCGGTATTCTTTCTTTCTGTCTTTAAACGGGTGGGGACCTTGTCCTTCTCCCATCCCTCGTTTGACTTGCATGTTTTCTTTCTTGACGGGTGGTTGTTTGGGTTCTGCTGTGTTTTCTTCTTTTGTTTTTTGTTTTGTCGGATTTGAGAGTGCGTTTTTAGCAATACCAAACAACTCTAAGAGAGAGATTTTTAGCAACTCTAAAGTTGTTTGTGATTTGAGAGTGATTTTTAAACACCAACCAGTTAGGATTATGATGATGAGATTGGTAAGGGGGGGGGGGGGGGGGGCTGGGCTGTAAGTAATGACGACCCTCGCTGGGCGTGTAAGGCAAAAGGCGGCCCCTCTCCTCCTTACCAATCCAACCGCGTCGCTAGGGCCGTGAAGTCCAGCAAGCAGAAAGCACAAGGCAGCAGCATGGGTACTCTTGCCCGCCCGCCTCTCACAGACCACGGCGCCCCCGCTCTTCGACACGCGCCTCGCCGCCCGCTGCAGGTTGGGAGGAGGCCGCCGCGAACTTCCCGGAGATCCCGAAGGGCCGCTCCGCCCGCAAGATCTGGATGGATGCCGGGGTGCGCGCGCCGCCGAGCGAGAGTAGGCGTCACTCCGCGTTGACGCCTCACCGTTGAATTTCCGCAGACCTACCCGCTCTTTGCCGTGATCGGCCTCGCCTCGGCCGTCTGCGGTGGATTCCTCTTCAAGTACTTTGCCGGCCACACCGACATTGCGCTGAGCCGGGCGGTGCGCACCTCGCCTCCTGCCCAGCCGCCGCCCCCCCGCCGCCGGCGGCGCGCCGTTCCCCGACCCTCGCCGCTCGCTCCCAGGTCCGCGCCGACCACAACCACCAGGGCGGAACCGACGGCCGCGTCGAGTCGCACAACTCGCGCTTTGGCATGCGCGAGATGAACAAGCGGACGATCACCATCTTCCCCTTCAACTGGAAGCCGAAGTCCGGTGCGTGCGCGCACGCTCCACACGTTCGAAGACCCTGCACGACCCACGCTCCCTGACGCCCGCCTCTCCCCCCTCCGCCCGCAGCCATCATTGAGCAGCACCGGTCCGATTAGACGCCTCGGGGCCAAGGCCCCTTGCCTTGGGGGCGACTCCTGTGCCTGTGTCTCTTGCCTGTGGCGTGTGCGGCGATTGTGCGCGTAGATGTGCATCGGATGCACGCTCGCGACACTCTTGCCTCGATGTTGCTGTTGTTACGCAGTCGCGCTTGGCGTGGCGGGCGGCTCCCTTGCGAGAGCGCAAGGCGCCACGCCCGCACCCCGCCTTGACGCGCGCGCAGCGCGGCGTGTACGTGCGTGCCAGCGCCTGCATTTTACTAATTTATTCAACGTTACGCGTTGAAAGCTGAAAGCCGACACTTGCCTCCTGCGACCTGCGCCGACCGAGACGCAAGAGCCAGGGTAGGCTCCGCCCCACAGCCCACTGTGATTGGAGAACTGAGCGACGGCAGGACCCTTTGAAATCATGAATGGCGGCGTCCGGTGAGGTCCCCACGGCCGGGGGTGGTAAGTGGGTGATAGGAGGGCCATAAACGACCATCACACCGGCCACCGGACCCCTCCCCCCCCCCAAACACAGTCCAAACCGGCCCCGGCGGCCGGCGGGACGCACGCCGGCGCAGCACCATCAAGCTGCTGTACGGCCTCGGCATCGCCTCTCCTGGCTTAGCTCTCAGTCAAGATATTGTGCACATGGGTGGCCTCTACAATATACTCACTGACACTGAACCTCCAAGAGCTCGTCCCGGTCCGCCACGGCCATCCTCGTCCTCCGCGGCGCCGGCTCCGGCCCCTCCGCCGCACTGTGATGAGCGTCGGCAGGACCCTTTGAAATCATAAATGGCGGCGTCTGGAGAGGCCCCCACGGCCGGGGGCGGTAAGTGGGTGATAGGAGGGTGATAAACGACCATCACACCGGCCACCGGACCCCTCCACCCCCCCAAACACAGTCCAAACCGGCCCCGGCGGCCGCCGTGCAGGAGGCCGCCGGGGCGCACCAAACGGCCCTTCACGGCCGCCACACGGGCCACCACGGCCCGTCCCGGTGGCACGGGTGCCGCCGCGCACCCGCCCGACGCCCCCGGCCCGCCAGCTTCCGCTCTGGGGGGCTTCACCTCCGCCAGCGGGCCGAGCGCGCCGCCTTCTCGCCGCGCTGCGGCCGCACGCCCGAGAAGTGGCCGAAGGGCGACCTACGCGGCACTAAAATCACGACTAGAAGCGCCGCCCGCCAGCAGGCAGCTTGCCCGCCGCGCGCCGCGCGCCGCCGCAGCGAGCTTTCAGCTCACTTTGACGACGCTAGGAAAATCAATTCGTGGAATCCAGTTCGAGATGCAGTGAGGCGGAGCCTACCCTGGCACCCTCGCCCGCGCGCATTCGGATTCGCGCCGGATTCGGTACGACACACGGAAGACGGATACACGCCCCATACAATAATGCCGATGCGCGATATACCCGCCACAGCCGGAGTGATCTCAGACAGATCTCAGACCTCCACCTCCACCTCATCGCCGCCGCCGCGTGGCAGCAGCGCCTCTGCAGCCTCCTTGCTGCCCCCCGCTCCTGCCTTCGCCGCCGCCTCCGCCGCCGCCTCCGCCGCCGCCTCCGCCTCCGCCTCTGCAACCCGCGCCGCGTGCTCGGCGCGGATGTTCGCGACCACCGCCTGCACCACCTCGGCGGGCGGCATCGGCACGTCGGGCCGCGTCTTGCGCAGCTGGACGAGCGCTCCGACGGCGGCTGCTTTCGCCGGCTCGACGGGCGAGGAGGAGAGGGTGATCAGCGCGCCGACGGCGGTGAGGGCGGGCCCGGGCAACTCCGACTGGTCGGTCGGGGCGGCCGGGCCGAGGATGGCGTCCGCGTTGTTGTTGAACAGGTTTGCGAGCCCGACGGCGGCGCGGTGGAGCAGCGGCGGATCGTCGGAGAGCAGGGCGATGTTGACGAGCGGCTCGAGCGCGCCCGCGCCGAGGAGCGCGCTGCCGATCTCGGGGTCGCCGGCGAGGGTCGCGATCGCACCTACGGGCGGGTGTGCGGAGGACGGCTGTCCGGAGGGCGGGTGGGAGAGGGGCGTGGCAGCCTCGGGCGGCGGCGGGTCGTCTGCACCCGACGCGGCGAGCTGCGCCTTCGGGTCGTCCGAGCCGCAAAAGCCGACGAAGATCTTCGCCTCGGTCGAGCCGGGCTCGGCGAACTTTGCGGCCACCTCGTCGGCGGTGGTGAGGTTGGACATGGCCTCGAGGGCGGCGCGCTGCACGAGCTCGTTCTCGCAGGCGAGGCTCATCGTGAGGGTGCGCCAGCCGCCGCAAGTCAGGATGCGCTGCTGCAGCTCGGGGTGTGTCGCGAGGTTGCAGAGGGCGAGGCACGCCTCGAACTGTTGCAACTCATGCTCGGCCCCGTCGACGAGCCGCAGCAGCGGCTTCACCATCGACTCTGGGCCGGAGCCGGGCCGGCGCGGGTAGGCGACTGGGTTGATCGAGATGCCAACCTTGGCGAGGGCCCACGCGGCGGAGGTCGCGGTCGGCTCGTGCTCGCACAGGGCGCAAGTGAGCAGCGCCTTGAAGCCTCCCTGCGCCACGATCTTGCCGCGCGCCTCTGGCGTCGTCGCCATCGAGAGCAGCACGCGCGCCGCGGTGTGCAGCGTGCTCGCGCCGCTGCCGCCGGGGCGCGAGGCTGCCGCCGCCACGAGCTCGGCCAGCACGAGCACCGCGTCGTCCTCGACGAGGGTGGCGGCGAGCTTGGTGAGTACCGCAGGGTCGTCCTTGCGCTCGCTCGGCGCGGCGCCGCCCGCGCCACCCGCGGCGAGCTGGCGCATCTGCTCGATCTGCGCCTCGTCCATCTCCTGCGGGGCATGTCTCGGACATGTCATGGACGTGTCCTGGATGTGCGCTCGACCTGCGCCTCGTGCATCTCCTGCTCCAGCCGCTTCTGCTCGTCGCTCTTCTCGCGCGGCGCGCAGAGGGCGCCGAGGGCGGAGACGAGCGCGTGGTGGAGGGAGGGGTCCTTGCTTGCCGAGTGCGCGACGGCGACGAGGGAGCCGAAGCGCGCGCCCGTCTCGGCGAGGTGCTCCTGTCGGCTCGGGGCCGGGGTCGGGCGAGGGAGGAAGAGGAGGAGAGGGAGGGGGGGGGGGGTAATTCACGGCGTGGGCGCGCGCCTTGAGGTCCGGCATCAGCGTGAGGTACATGAGCGCCTCGACCGCCCACCGGTGGACGTGCGGCGGGACCTAAGTATAGATTATCAAGTCAGATATAGTAGGCTCATATGACCGCCCACCGGTGGACGTGCGGCGGGACCTAAGTATAGATTATCAAGTCAGATATAGTAGGCTCATATGACCGCCCACCGGTGGACGTGCGGCGGGACCTTGGCCTCGAGCAGTCCGCGCGTCGCAGCGAGCAGCTTCCCCGTCGGGTCGATGCGAGCGCGGTGGTCATGGTGCAGGAGGCAGACCTGTCGCCACGAGGGAAGGGGGGGGGGGGGGGGGGAGGCAGTCGTCAGGCCTCGCCGGCGGAGGAGAGAGGTGGCGGACGAGAAGCGGCGCGCCTTGGCGAGCGCGACGCACGCGCGCGCGCGGACCTTCGGGCGCGGCGAGCGCAGGAAGGCGCGCAAGTGGCGGATCGGCTCCTCGCCTTCCTTGTCCTTGAACAGGGAAACGTCGGCGGCCGCGTGCGCGTAGATCTCGGCGAGGGAGCGCTGCAGCCCCTCGTCCTCGAGCTCGGCCACCTGTTCACAGCTGCACCTGTGAAGAGACGCCGTTCACGCTCGCACGAGCACCCCTCCTCGAGCTCGGCCGCCTCGGCGAGCGACCAAAAGATGGACTCCTGCCGCAGAAGCCAAGCGCCGACCTTCTTGTTGACCTCCAGCACGGCAGTCACTCCGTGCACCGCCGCGGCGTGGGCCTCCCACTCCGCCTCCGGGTCGCGCAACGTGGGAAAAAGGGCAGCCTCCGCCCCGGCGCACGCGCCCTTGTGAAAGGCCTCGTCCTCGCTCTTGTCGTCCCCCTTGCCGTTGGCGGCGGCAGCGGGCGTCAGGAGCCGCGCGAGGATGGCGAGCGAGCTGCGGTGCGCCTAGTCAGCAAGATGCGATCAGCCCAGTCACCCTCCGCCGGGGGACAGAGAGCGAGCTGCGGCGAACGGGCTGTGGCGAGCGGGCTGCGGCGCGCCTCGGTCTCGTCGTCGCCGACCAGCCAGGAGAGCGATCGGATCACGTCGGGCAGCGCCGCGCGGCACGCCTCCGGGTCCAGCTCCGCCATCCGCAGCACACCGTCCAGCGCGGCGCGCGACACGGCCGCATCGGGCGCGCCCGCCGCCGCCGCCCCGCCCGCCGCCGCCCCGCCCGCCGCCGCCCCGCTGCCCGCCGCCGCCCCGCCGCCCGCCGCCGCCTCGGGCTCAATCTCGACGATTCGCGGCTCGTCCTCGACCTCGTCGACGGGGGGCAGGGGCGAGCCGGCGGGCGCGCTTCCCGCGGCGGCGGCGCTGCCCGCGGCGCGAGGCGAGGCGAGCGCGAGGAGCCCGCGCAGGGCGGCGGCCTGCGCGTCCTGCGAGCCGAGGGCGGCGCGAGTCCCTCCGAGGAGCGCGAGGAGCGAGAGGGCGCGCTTGGCCGTCGCGAGGCAGTTCTGGAGCTGTGGGTGCTCTCCGCCTCCTGCGGCGGCGGCGAGGCCGCTGCGCGCGCCGCCGCACGCCCTCGCCACCGCGAGCAGCCGGCCGGCGAGCGAGGCGTGCAGCGGGTCCCTCGGCCGGGGCTGCCCCTCGCACGCCTGGCAAATGGCCCTCCGCGCGGCAGTGCCGCAGCCGGACGCGGGGGAGGCGGCGCCGAGCCCGCCGGCCGCGGCTGCGCCCGCGCCGGGCAGCAGGTCCGAAGACGCCATCCGCTCGAGGGCTTCGACGGCGAGCCCGACGAGGGGCATGCGGAGGCTGGACGCGTCGACGACCTCGTCCTCACGGGGGAGGAGAGAGACGAGCTCGGCCGCGGCGCCCGTGTGGACGAGCGCTGGCCCTTGCGAGCGGTCCTCCGCCACCTTTGACATCCGTCCGACGCAGCGCGCCAGCTCCTCCTCACCGGCGCCATCGGCCACGGCGCGGCGCAGCGCCTCGGTGGCGGCGCGTGGCGCCGACTCGTCGGCCGCACTGCAAGCGTCGACCGCCGCCTTGAGCCGCCGCGCGAGGAGGGCGGCCTCCCGGTTCTCTGGGTCGAGGCGGAGTGCGGCCTGCGCGTCTCGGAAGGCGGCTCCGAGGTCGGCGGGAGAGCCGAGCGCCTCGCGTGCCTGCGCACGGCGGTACATGGCCTTGACGTACCCCGGCTGGGCCGAGAGCGCCGCGTCGCAGTCCGCCACGCACTCGGAGGCGGCGTTCAACTTCAGGTGCGCGAGCGCACGGTTGGCGTGGAGCGCCGCGACCGCCTCTTTGCTGAGTGAGGGCGCGCCGAGCGCCGAAGTGTAGCTGGCAATCGCTTCGGCCAGCCGGCCTGCCTTGAGGTGCGCGTTCCCCTCGTCCTTCGACATTGCGGCGGTCCGCGTCTGCACGTGCTCGGCCAGGCGTTCGAGTCACCCCGTCGACCCTTTCGCACTGCTCGTGATCGGCTCCCTTGTTGGCTTGGTGGGTAGGCGTCTCGCTGGGACCTGGCGAGGTACTCCCACGCCTCTCGGGTTTTGTCTGGCCGAGTCAACCCGAGAGCTGGGGCGAGCCTCGGCGAGACTGCGTCAGCTGTTCCCACAGCAGGCTGGAAGTACCTCGCCAGGCTGGGACATGTCTGACGGTGAGCCCCCTCGTCAACCCTTTAGTTGGGGGTTGAGGCCTCCGGGGCCTATTCACAGACTCGCGCCGTGATCACTAAGTTCACTGGAAGAGCCCAGCCGCCAAAAATCGCTTCGCCTGCGGCGCGCTCTTGCGCTCCTCGGACCTCGAGCGCAATCCATAGGATTCCTAAGTAGGAGACGCTCACTGTCGCCATTCAGGCGCCTGATCTCTCATCAGCAAAGCGATGGCCTACCTGGTATGCCCTGGTACGAGTTCAGATGCGCGCCCGGCAGAAGACGCGTGTGTGATTTTCGGCATGTAGGTGATCTCCGTCCACGGCGGGACGTACGTTGCAGGCATGCTGTGGCTGGCCGCAGCCCGTCCGCGTTGGCCTCTCGCCGTCCGTGTCTCGGGTCGTCTCTCCAGCCGCAGCCTTCGCCGCCGATCCTTGGCCTCGTCCGCTTCGTCGCGCAAGGCCTCCGCCTCCTCCTCCCACCTCATCCGCAGCGCTCTCGACGAGTACGACGAGAGGCAGAAGCTGCTGCTCGCCCGGCTGCTCAAGGACCTGCATTCGCTCGCGCTGGAGGGCCGCGATGGAGCGGAGGCGTCGCCAGCCTCGATTGACACCGCTCCCTCCAACGGCCTTCGCTTGCCCGACGACCTCGCCGAGCTCACGCCCGGCCTCGCAGCGGATGCGCTCGACTCCCTCCTGCGCGGGGAGACGCTCGAGCAGGCGTCGCTGCTCCGGCTGCTGCGCGCCTCAGCCGAGGCGATACGCAACGAGCCGGGCGTCGCCGATCTCCGCGACGCCCGCGTCGTCACCGTCGTCGGGGACCTGCACGGGTGCATGCCGTCGCTGCGCGCGGCTCTCCGGGTGTGCGCCGACCTGAGCGGCGGCGCACGCACCTCGGCCATCTTCGCGGGCGAGGGGACGGCGACCATGGTCTTCAACGGCGACTTTGTCGACCGCGGCGCCAACTCGCTCGAGGTCCTCTGCTCGCTCCTGCTGCTCCGCTTTGCTCAGCCGGACGGCTCGGTCGTGCTGCTCCGCGGCAATCACGAGGACGCGCTCCTCTCCGCGGCGTACGGCTTTGCGGACGAGGTGCAGGCCAAGCACGCGGCCGCGCACGAGGAGGTGTGGGAGGCTGTCTCCGACCTCTTCGCCGCCCTCCCGCTCTGCGCGCTCACCTCGCACGCCGCCATCGTCCACGGCGGCCTGCCCGGGCCAGAGCTCGACCTCGGCGCCGTCAGCAGCATCGCTCGCGGGCGCGACGACCTGCGCTCGGTGCTGCAGCCAGAGGGGCAGCCGGATGCCGCTCTCATCCAGGGACTCGTCTGGTCGGATCCGTCGTACGACGACGGCCTTCACACCAACGAGAGCCGCGGCGGCGCGGGCTTCATCTTTGGCCCGGACGTAGCCCGCGCGTGGCTCGAGCGGCAGGGCCTCCGCTACCTCGTGCGTTCGCACCAGGTGAAGCCCGACGGGTGGGAGGCAATTGACTGCGGGGGGGGCACTGCCGTCTACACCGTCTTCTCCGCCGCGGACTACCCGCGCGGCGAGGGCTTCAACTCGGGGGCGGTCCTGCGGCTGGCCGGCGAGGAGTGCGAGGCGAGCGAGTTCTCGATCGACGACGGGGGCGCGACCGGTGAGCGCGGTGACGCCGACGGCGGAGAGGCGGAGCTGGCCGTGCTCATCAGCACGCACAAGCACCGCCTTGCCGAGGCTTTTGTGGCGGCCGACCCCGACGGGCGGCTGGAGCCCGACGCGTGGGCCCGCATCCTCGACGCCGAGCTCGAGGTTGGACTCGACTGGGTCGCGCTGCGGGAGCACCTGGCGGTGCCGACCATACAGCGTGCGAGCCGCGGTCCTGATGGCAGCATGGAGCTGACCGACACGGGCCTGGTCGACACGCGCCGCTGGCTCAACTCCTTTGACGGCGTCGCACTAAGACAGCGGCAGACGGGTAAGCTGGCGCCGCCCAGCGACGGCTCGGAAAGCGCCACCGTAGCGGCGGTGTTTGCACAGCACGCGGTGCTCCTCACGGTCTTCCAGCACCTCGACACGGACCACTCCGGGACGGTCTCTCGCGAAGAGTTCCTCACCGGCGTCGAGATGCTCAACGCGCGGCTGCCCCCGGAGCGGCAGCTGCGCGACGGCGAGAACGTCTTCAGCCTGCTCGACCTCGACGGCAACGGCGAGCTGGAGCTCGAGGAGTTCCGCCTCGCCTTCACGGGGCTCGCCGCGCCCTGAGCGAGTGCTTGCTTGGGGGCGCCGGGCGGCGGAGAACTCTCTCTGCTCGAGAGGGGAGAGCGCGCTAGCACAGGCTCTCCACCGAATGTCCGAATCAATCCACCGAACTCTGCGCGCCCCGGAGGACATCTGCGAAGCTAGCTCCTACAGCTTCCCGCGGTCTCAGCTAGCGCTCGCTGCGTGCGGGGTACTGTAGCAGATCACCCTTTCCACCCGTCATCACACACCCTTCTGACGGGACTGACGCGCGTGGCGAAGGGTGCGTGAGGGTGATCATCCGCGCCCGTTCAGTCTTCAGAGACCAAATACGGACACATCTTCCAGGAGTTGCGTAAAAAGGAGCAGGTCCCCGCCCATGCGGCGTCTTTGTTCGACTTTGTGCAGGGTTCTTTGTCCTCATGTACACGGACTATACACACGCACCCCAACCTTACGCGTGTTGACACGACCATAGTCTGAGGGTTAGGTTTCTGGAGCCTCGGGTGCTTTTACGCCTTTGATCGGGTCAGGGGAGAGTGCGACTTTTACCACTTTGGTCGTCTCGGAGCGCCCAACTTTTAGCATGTTTCAAAAATTTCTTCGGCGCTGCGCGCCGCGGGTGCAGCAAGTACTAGCTATCCCTATCGTCCCGCAACGGCAAAGTAGTTCCCGCACACTATGGCTAAAAAATGCTGCCGCTCGCCCCTCGAAAGCGCCCGCCGGTGTGTGTCCAAACATGTACATGTATGTAGCGCTACAAGTTTGTGACACATAAGGACGCATCCTCCCACAACACTTCACCCGCTGGCTTGGTTGCAGCTGCCGAGGTACCATCTGCCGGCTTGGGGGGGCTAGTGGCATTCGCCGGAGAGTAGAATGTCCAAAATTTTCGCGCGCCTGCGGCGGCGCGACTTTTACCATTTTGCCCCGGGCGGGCCCACTTTTGAGAGAGATTTTTAGCAATACCAAACAACTCTAACACTCACACGTAATTTGGGGCCTGGAGCCCTGTTCACGCGCGCGCGAGTTGTTTTGCACTTGGAGCACTTGGAGCACTTGGAGTGCAGTCATTAACCGCACATCCAGGGCCGGGGAGCTAAGAAGCACTTTTGTCAAACAAACAAACACGGGGAACCTCCCTCTCCGTCAGAGTTCGCTCCCACTGAGGCCTCCGCTTTTTATTTCGCAGGGGCCCCTTATTGTATAAGGGAGAGCGAGACTCATCATTTAGAGAATGTGGGAGGACCGAGCCCGGGACCGCGTGAGCGTTGCATTTCTGCCCTCGCTCACACGCGCGCTTAGAGTTATGCGGCGCTACGGTGGAACTCGTGTTTAATTGAACAAGGCTGACCCCTACCCCTCTCGGTGGGCTTGCAGGTAGGGGGTTCGGGTAATAAGGTGCATCGGGGTCGGCGGGCGTGAACTGGAGTGATACCCGCTTCGGCCGTTTAGTTGCGAACTCCCTTTCCCCTCGGCGGCCTTTTGTCTTGCCCCGGCTGTGTGTCGGCTGCCGTTCCTCCGCGACGCCCGGGCTAGCCTGCCCGCCGAGCCCGGCCATCGCGGATGACGAGGGGCGCAGAACAGAAGCCCCGGGGCCCGGTGCACATTAGCCTGCTCCTCTTTGGCGCTGTCCGCTCCGACCTCCAGCTCGCAGTCTCGCTCGCCAGCGTGCAGCAGAACCTGCTCGCGCCGCTCACCCACGGCCACAGCCTCTACAAGGTCTCAATCCACGGCAGCATGGACTGCTCGCACCCGTGCACGCTCGCGGCCGTTCGTTCGGCATTCGCCGGGCCGAAACTGCGGGCAGACACGCTCGTGGTCGAGGGGGGTGTGAACTCGACCGATTCGATGCTGCGGTACCGCCGCGCCATGGCGCACGCAGCACGGGCAGCCGCCGTTGCCCTGCGTGCTGGCGCAAAGCTAGCCATCGCTGCGCGTGTCGATGTGGAGTACGCAAGCCCGATTCACCGCGACCTCGTCCCCCCGGGAGCGACGCTGACCTGGCAGGTGTCGCAAAACGCCTCGGCGAGCGGGGAGCGGCGCGGCGGCGGGCCAGCATGGATCGTGGTCCCCGACTTTGCTCACTTTCACCAACTCAACGACCGATTCGTATACGGCCCGATGGGCACGGTTCTGGCCTTGTTCGAGTGGCGCCTGCATAACATGGCGGCTGACTTGTTTGCCGAGCACCTGGCGTGCCTGGCAGCGCGGACGCTCAAGGTCGCTGTCCTCGCTTCGCCAATCAGGTTGGTCCGTCGCCGCAGCGACTTATCAGTGCCAGACGCCGACAGGATTTTGGCTTGGAGGTCTATGCCACAGCGAAGCTGGATGCGTGCGGTAGAGAGCGGCTCTTTTTGCCGGAGAGAGACAAAGGTGCGCTTTTGGGGAGGCGACGCAACCAGCTGCCAGCCGAGCGATTTGACATGCAAGCTCCCGACGCGCTTTGCGCGCCCACAGTCGCACAGTATCAGCTTGCGCTCGTCAGGCAAGGCGGCGACAAACGATTCTCATAACCGCCAAGGACCAAGCGCACACCGGTCTTCGGCGCGACATACGCCATTCGGTTAATAATCTGTCATTCCCGGGGAGCCGAGGTAGGCACAGTAGAGGTGTCCGTTTTGGTTTATTCATTTATTTATCAGCCGGGGAGGTCGATAAACGATAAAAAATCTAACCACAAATACGCATTGGGAGGGGAAGGAGATTTCTGCGCCGAGATACAGCCAGGCCGGACAGGCAGCCAGGCAGCCAGGCAGCCACAGGTCAGGGGAGCTCCAGGCAGGCAGGTGTGAGAGTGCGGTGAGTGGAGAGTGTGTGCGTCCTCCCAACATGCCTCCCAAGCAAGGGCCGTGTTTTTACTTGATGGCCCCTCCGCCCTCCCTGCGACCGCGGCGCGCACACCCCTAGGGGTCACCGGGGCTCTATCGTTCTGCTCTCGTTGCCCCTTGCCCGTTAGGCCCGGTCCCCAAGCACCGGCCCGCTGGGTGCGCTTCGTATAGGACTTAGTTCCCAGGCCCTAGGTGTGAGGTTACCAACTGGAACTGCACTCCAAAGTGCTCCAAGGGCCGCGCTTTTGTTTGCGCGCTATACTTGGAGAGAGAGATGCCGAGCCCAAATCACTGTGAGAGTCGTCATTTCTTGTTGGTTTTCAAAAAAATCTCTCTATATGTACTTTGCCGTGTGTGGGGGGGGGGGGAGAGAGAGAGATTTTTAGCAATGCCGTTGGCGCGCCTGGCTCTTCCCGATGCGGCGTAATACTTGTGTGCCGATGTGTGTGCGGCGCCAGGGTCCATCCACGCCCTTGTCGTGTCAGTAAATAAATAAATAAAAACGGACACCTCTCTACTGTGAGGTGGGTAAAAAAGAACAGGTCCCCGCCCTTGCGATCTTTGTGCAGGGTTCTTTTTGGGTGTGGTCGGCGACTAGCCGGGGTGCGTCCTCCCGTCGTGTCAGTGTGCGGTGAGAGAGGATTAGATTTGCTCAAAGGCGAAAAACATGGCTTCCGCGGACGCCAGTCGAACAAATTCTTGCCCTCCCGCTGGCCAACGGCAGGCCCAGTTAGTTAGTTAGTTAGTTAGTATGTATGTAGAAAGGTGAAGAACAGCCAGGCTCGGACTGGACACCAACGCGGTAATGGGGTGGACGCTAGACAGATGATGACGACACGCACGAGCGACACACAGACACAAACAGGCTCACAAGACACACAGCCAGCTGGCTGCCACACACCCTGTGCTGAGTTGGCGTACACATAACTCAGGGCCACATCCTCCCTGTCGCCCCCCCCAGCACTCTAAGGTGCCAAAGGAACAAACAAGGGCACAACAAACAACAGACGACAGGAAGTAACATGCGAGGCTAGAGCAGGCTTGCTCCACCTCTATAGCAATCTCGCCGGCCGGCGAGGCACGGACGAGACCGTGTGTGGGGTCTAGTGAGGTGTCTATGGACGCTCTCTTCACGGGCTAGCGGCCTACTGCCAGCCCTATCTCGCACTCACGGGTGATGACAATTCATTAGGTGAGTGTTTGCGAGCAGAGGCGCGTGTGCTAATTCTAGGCGGGCCGCACGTCGTGGCACTATGACGGAGTTAGACGTGCGGCCGCAGCGCGGCGGCCGTCAGAAGGACATCGAAGATGAATTCTGTGAAGAGCGTGACATTTTCATTGTAGAATAAAATAAATTTAGCGCGAGATGGCGCAGCCTATAATACGCCCGGACGAATTTTTCATGATCGTGGCGATTGGGACGAGGCCGATTGTCCGGGGATGCGGACCTTGCGCCGGCGGGGTGGCGTCCCTGTGGGCACTGCCTGCGCTCGGACAAGTGCGCTCGGCACCCACGCAATGTGCCTCGCCGGGCACCGCCTCTGAGCTCGGTATATACTTTCCCACTATGCCACGTCGCCCATCCCGGGATGGAACAGTCAGGCTCGGACTGGACACCAACGCGGTATGGGTGGACGCTGGACAGATGATGACGACACGCACGAGCGACACACAGACAGACACAAACAAGCTCACAAGACACACAGCCAGCGAGGGAAGCCCCAGAAAAAAAGGAAAAAAACTGCTTTTTGACCGCGCAAGATATAAAGGGTGGCTAAGGGCTCTGCCCGCAAGGCGCCCGCGTCGCAGACGCGGTACCATTGACAAATCGCCACGCCGCTTAAGCGGCGGTCCTCTTCCCAGCTGAGCTGTGAGGGCCCGTGCGTTATTCCTCCTCTTCGAGACCGGGTCCGGCCCGGGCGCTCTGCCCAACATGCTCAGCGCGCAGAAGCTGGAGCTTTTGGCTGGGCTCAAGGTGCGCGGCCTCGACCTGCGCCAGGCGGAGATGAGCTTTTACATGAATCGCTTCACCACCACAGCCGGCCTCTCCTCGATCATGACGTGTTTGGCCTACGTCGGCGTGATCAAGATCAAGATCCCGCACGAGATGCTGCCGCCCGAGGAGTCATGGCAGGTGCCGCTCTTTTACGTCGCGGCGTGCTGCACCATGGCGCTATCAATGTACAACCTTGTCATCACCTCCTTCTGCGTCGTGTATGCCCAGGGCCTCGCGCTGCGTGGGCCGCCCGGATCGGTCGCCAAGTGCGTGCAGATCTTCCGCGCGGAGTGGGTGACCGTGCGGCTCGTGCTGGCCGCCTCGCTGGCGAGCCTCATCCTCGCCGGTGTCTCCATCTCATGGATGAAGCTCGAGCGGGACGCGCGCATTCTGGGCGGCATTCCACTGCCCGCGCTCGTCATCAGCGTGCTCGTGCTGGGGATACTGCTGCTGCTCTTCCGCCGGCTCGCCCTCCTCGCTTCGCAGCTTCGCGTCCCGTACGACACGCGCGTCGAGGGCGACCTCCACATCGACGATGGCGGGCTCAACATCGACCTAGCCGCCGAGGACCAGGAGCGCATCGAGGCGGCTAGGTGAGAGCGAGTGCGGCGCGGGGGCCCGAGGCGCTTGCCCGCTTCTGCCGCTATACGTGTATTTCTGTGTATTCTTTCCATGATTTTCACGACGGATAAGACCGGACGACATGTTCACACGGTCGAGCGGAGCCGGGGGGCTGGACGTGGTCGTGGAGACGCAAAACACACACAGAGAGGGAGAGACGATGAACCCAATTCACACAATCACAAACCCCGGGCGGCCGCGCGAATCACGGCAAGGCAGGCGGCCGGCAATAACACTCACAAGCGTTCGATGCGGCGAGACGGAGACGCGACTGACGTGTTCTTGCGGGCACTGTGCAGCAGGCGGGGGTGGAGCAGGAGGCAACGCGGCCGCCGCCTCGCCCGCCACGCTAGTCGTACTGCGCCGCCTTGCCCGTCCGGCCGCAGACCGGCCGGAAGCCGCCGAGTCCGGTCTCCATCAGCGTCATCGAGCCGGTCCCCACCATGAGCAGCCCGGAGCCAAACAGGATAAAGGCGAGGAAGAAGACGATGAAGGAGGGGCGGCCCGTGCGCTGCAGCAGCGAGTGCGCGCCCTTGGTGCCAACGATGGCGCCGAGGACGCCGCCGAAGAAGCCGAAGAAGGCTGCGTACTCGAGGTCGATCATGCCTGGGCAGAGGAGGCGCTGGTTGGCTGTGGTGTCTGGTGTTTGGGAAGGCCTCGGCGGATCTCGGCGGATCTCGGCGGATCTCGGCGGATCTCGCGCCGAAGATGATGAATTGACAGACGGTGGCCGAAGACATGAAGAGCACCATCACCGTCGAGGTGGCGGAGGAGACCTGAGTGGAGGGTGGTGGTGGGTGGGGCTGGGCAACGGCGTCGGTGATTGTGTGTGTGGGGGGGTTGTAGGACCGAGGGGAGTCGAGACGAGCTTCATCTCGGCTGCGTCTCGGCTGCGTCTCGGCCGCGCCTCGGGGAGGAAGCCGAGCTCCGTGAAGATCGGCCCGAGGATCATCCCCCCGCCCACGCCGAGCATGCCGGCTGCGATGGCGCCGACGCAGACGAGGGCGGGCAGCCGCACCACCTTGTCGACGTCCCACTCGACGTCGCCCTCGACGTACGCGTAGCCCATCTGGACGCGCGAGCGGTGCGTGCGCAGCCGGCCGCGCGCAGCTACGGCGGTCAGCAGCGCGAGGATGGGCAGGTTGAGCACGACCACCGCCCAGTACCTGTGAGGCACACACAACCGACATGCGTGGGGGGGTGACCGCAGCTGCCGCGGCGAGGGTGCGCCGCTGGAGTGCCCGGCGGAGCCGCACGCGACCCCGAGCAGCGAGGGAGCGCCGTGACCGCCCTTGAGCAGGGCGAGCAGGTAGACGACCGCCCACGCGCGGAGGAGGACGAGCGCGTCGCCCCAAGGCGGGCGTGCCTCCTCCTCCACCTCCCGCTCCAGCAGCGCCGCGCGCGCCTGCGGCGGGGGAGAGGCAGCTCGGGGCTTGGGCACGGGCGGCGCTGGAGGCGCCTCGGCGGCGCCCGGCAGAGAGAGGCAGAGAGGGAGGGGGAGAGGGAGGGGGAGAGGGCCGCAGCCACTTAGCGCCAGGCAGCTTCTCGGCCAGCTCTCGGCCAGCTCTCGGCCATCTCTCGGCCAGCTCTCGGATCTCGGCCAGCTCTCGGCGACCTCGCGCCTCCTTCGCGCCAGGCTCGTCTCCACACCCGTCGGGGCTTCCCCCGCCCCGCAGCCCCGCGCCGCCGCCCTCCTTGCCGCCGCCGCCCTCCTTGCCGCCGATGAGCGGCGTGCCCGAGTCGTCTCTCTCTGCCTGCGGCAGCGTCTCGTACATGGCTCGGCTCTCCTTGGCCCACCCCTTGCGAGCCTTGTCGAGGGTGCGCTTGCCCATCACGGCGCAGAGCAGCACCAGCAGCACCATAATGAGCCTGCGAGGCGCGCAGGGGGCGGTGGGAGCCGCTCTCCAGCCGCCCCACCAGCCGCCCCACGTGCGCAGTGCCTCCCGCCGCACCAGCAGTTGGGGCAGATCTTGTTGAGGAAGTGTCCAGGAGGTGTCTAGGAAGTGTCTCCCGCGCGCCAGTTCGGGCAGATCTTGTTGAGGAAGACCCCGACGGTGGTCCCCATCAGTGTGGCGGGCATCAGCACGACCACCACGTCGTACGCGATCCGGTGGCGGTGCGGGACGAGAGGGTGTCTGTGGGGTGAGGGTGAGGGTGGGGGTGAGGGTGAGGGTGAGGGTGAGGGTGAGAGTCACTTGAGCCAGAGGTAGGTGCCGAAGGGTGAGGGTGGGGGTGGGGGTGGGGGTGAGGGTGAGGGTGAGGGTGAGGGTGAGGGTGAGGGTGAGGGTGAGGGTGAGGGTGAGGGTGAGGGTGAGGGTGAGAGTCACTTGAGCCAGAGGTAGGTGCCGAAGGTGGAGAAGAGAGAGGCGCCGAAGACGGTGGCGAGCGCGAGCGGGATGGCCTCGTGCTCGGTGAAGTCGCCGATGAGGGTGAAGAGGGGCACGAGCACCGCGCCGCCGCCGATGCCCGCCGCGGAGGCGAAGACGGTGGCGAGGAAGACGGCGAAAGCGGTGTGGATGTCGGACGAGCTCAGCGGGAAGAGGCCGTCCTGCGCCGTCACCGGCCGCACGCGAAAGCGAGGGTAGCACTTCTTCTGGCAGTGCTTGTAGTTGCTGCACGAGGAGTCGCACTCTTCGCACGTGGTGGAGCACTCCGGGTACGTCGTGCACACCTGCCGATGAGAGCACCAGCCGCAGCCGTCGAGCTCGGTGCAGCCGCAGACCGAGGCGGCCTGCGCGCACGTGTCGACGCAGGTGCGCCGGCAGGCCGAGCGGCAGGTGTCGTGCCGCGTGGGGCACTCGCGGCACGTCGTCGTGCACCGGTCGGCGGGCGCGCACTTGCCGTTCTTCGAGCACCAGCCGCACCCGGGCGCGAGCGCCGAGCAAGAGCACAGGTCGGTCGCGGCGGCGCACACGGCCTCCGAGCTGACGTTGCGGTGCGCCACCGCCAGCGGCGAGGCGCCGCGGAGGCCGCTGCAGCCCAGCAGCAGCAGGATCGACATTGGCCGGAACCTGAGGCACGGCGCCTGAGAACTTGCGGCGAGTTTTCTTACTTTTACCGAGTCGGACTGTACTTTTCTCCCTAGCGTTTCTTCTGTCTGTGTCGGCCACGCCTGCCGATGTTACAGCACAAGGCGGTGCTCGACATGGGCGGAACAGAGGCCAGCCAGCCACGGGCACGGCGCCTGAAAACTTGCTTGGGGCTGACTCAGTTTTCTTACGAGCGCAACCCCGCTGCGTCCTGGCTCGCGCACACGCGCCCACGGTGCCTAAACAGCAATGTCCCACCTCTTATCGGCGTCGGCGCAAACATAAAAAAGGGAGGCCGCTTGACCCCAGTTGGGCCACGGTGACAGACACACAGCCCATTCCCCTTCCCCCGCAAGACATCAAGGACGAGGACACGACACAGGACGCACGCGTCGGCGTCGGGGTTGGCAAACCTGAGAAAAGAAACTCGCAGGCCAAGGCTGTACATGCAATACTGCGGCGTGCGGGTGCCTTCACGACCTGCACTCCAAAGGTTGGCAGCTGGTGACGCAGCATCCGACAGCGACGCCGCGGAGCCGGAGAGCCCTGCACAGAAGCGGCACATCATCATCACACGCCTCGGTGGCGCGTCGGTGCGACTCGCAGCGGTCCAAAATGCAAAAAGAAGGCGGCTCAAAAAAGACGAAATAAGCTAGAAGAGCTTCCGCGGTCTGACCGCAACGGCCCGCTATGTGGCGAGCAATGCGACGGCGTGCACTCATTCTACTGGTCTGTGGGCATCGGTGCTCCGCCTCCCTGTCATGGCCACCGTGCCTGTCATGGCCACCTTGCACCTTCCCCCCTGTCATGGCGACATGGCCACCTTCCCAGTGGCTGTGTGACGCAGCTCGCACAGCGACGCAGCCCAGCCTTGCAGCCCGCGGTGCAGCCTTCACAGCACATGCACTGCAAGAAGTCTGCTGTTGGCCTGCATGGCTTGCTGCTGCAGCGCATGTGGGCGAGCAGTCGGCGAGTGTCGGACGCGTTGGGTGCGCTCTCGCGCCAGATAAGCCTCTCTCAGGATCACAGACACCCCTCTCAGGATCACAGCACCGGCGGGAACGCGCCTCAGGATCAAGCACCCACGGCAGGGTCTGTGGGGATCAGCAGACCTGGAGGGAGGGGGCACGCATAGGATCAGAGCCGGTTTGAAGAGGCGCTGAGGATCATAGGTCTGAGAGGGATGCTGTCAAGATCACAGGGCTGCAAAACGGGTGGCACTCGAGATCAGAGCGCCAAAATAGGCGCGCGGGAGATCAGCGGGCCGGAAATTGGTGCAATACACACACGAGCGCCGAAAAAAGGAAAATTGGTGCAATTTACATCAGTTACCAGCCTCCGGCGGGGCCCCCCGCTACCATCCAAACCCGAGTACAAAGCGCGCCTCGTGCGCGCCTCTCCGAGGCGCTGCGCAGATGGTCTACGAATTAGATGGTCTACGAATCCGCATAGAGGCTCAAGTGACAAGTCCACACACACACGCGGGACACACACCGCGGTGCGCGGGCGGACGGATTCGGACGGGGCGGAGCAGCGACCGCCTGGGCGGCCGCTGCTCTGTCTGCCAGAGCGCGGCGACCGCCTGGGCGGCCGCTGCTCTGTCTGCCAGAGCGCGCCGTCTGCGCAGCTCGAGAGCGCAGTCAGGTGCAGGGAAGCGTGGCGGCGCGGGGACGCGCGGCGGCGGCGGCGAGCAGGCGAGCGGCCCGCGCGCGGCGAGGCGGACAGGTGATCGGCAGGCGGGTGATGGGCCGGAGAGTGACCGCGCCCAGCGATCGGAGGCGAGCCGATCGTCGCTCGGCCGCTGCTGACCTCGAACACGAGTGCAACTGGGTAGCGGGGGGCTATCATCAATCATGAAACCGTCGCGCGCCCATCACGTGCGCTGGACCGGTCGCTCATGCGCGTCCTGTCGCTCATGCGCTTGTCGCTGGGAGGTGGCGCCGGGCTGGCCATCGGCGCCGCTCGCGCGCTTGGCGCCGCCGAGGATGGCAGTCGTGACGGCGGCCGCAGCATTCGGCGTAGACCGCGCGCGCAGCGCGCTCCGTGTTTGCCTTGAGGAGCGCAGCGACGAGTCCGTAAGGAGCGGCCCCAGCTTGCGGAGCGGCGCCGCCGCGCGCCGTATCGAGAGACTCTGTCGGGGCAGGTTAAAATAGCGCCACAGGCTCAGGTTTGCCAACCCCGACTTCTTGCAGTGCCATGTGCTGTGAAGGCTGCACCGCGGGCTGCAAGGCTGGGCTGCGTCGCTGTGCGAGCTGCGTCACACAGCCACTGGGAAGGTGGCCATGACAGGGGGGAAGGTGCAAGGTGGCCATGACAGGCACGGTGGCCATGACAGGGAGGCGGAGCACCGATGCCCACAGACCAGTAGAATGAGTGCACGCCGTCGCATTGCTCGCCACATAGCGGGCCGTTGCGGTCAGACCGCGGAAGCTCTTCTAGCTTATTTCGTCTTTTTTGAGCCGCCTTCTTTTTGCATTTTGGACCGCTGCGAGTCGCACCGACGCGCCACCGAGGCGTGTGATGATGATGTGCCGCTTCTGTGCAGGGCTCTCCGGCTCCGCGGCGTCGCTGTCGGATGCTGCGTCACCAGCTGCCAACCTTTGGAGTGCAGGTCGTGAAGGCACCCGCACGCCGCAGTATTGCATGTACAGCCTTGGCCTGCGAGTTTCTTTTCTCAGGTTTGCCAACCCCGACGCCGACGCGTGCGTCCTGTGTCGTGTCCTCGTCCTTGATGTCTTGCGGGGGAAGGGGAATGGGCTGTGTGTCTGTCACCGTGGCCCAACTGGGGTCAAGCGGCCTCCCTTTTTTATGTTTGCGCCGACGCCGATAAGAGGTGGGACATTGCTGTTTAGGCACCGTGGGCGCGTGTGCGCGAGCCAGGACGCAGCGGGGTTGCGCTCGAAATAGGTACTGTGGTCATGCTGCGCTCAGCCTCCTCTCGCGTCGCGCGCCGCAGCGCCGGGGTGCTCTCAAAAGGCGCGCCGGCCGCCTGCGCACAGAAACTCTGCGCGCTGAGACACAAGAAGGTTGGGAGGTTGTGCACACGACCCCGAGGGCCGGCGGCGGCGCGGAGAGCAATGAGAGGGGGGCGCCCTCGCCGCGTGGCGATTGCCGCACGCCCGACGCCGCTCGCATGCCCGCCCCGTGCAGCGCCGTTTGCTGCTGTCGCTGCGCGCGAGAAGTCCACTGGCAAGGTGACGACGGTCATCGGTGCGGTGGTGGACGTGCAGTTTGACGGGCCGCTGCCGGCTATCCTCAACAGCCTCGAGGTCGAGGGCCACGAGATCCGGCTCGTCCTCGAGGTTGCGCAGCACCTGGGGGAGAGCACGGTGCGCACCATCGCGATGGACGCCACCGAGGGCCTCGTGCGCGGGCAGACCGTGGTTGACACGGAGGCGCCCATCTGCATCCCCGTGGGCAACGGCGTGCTCGGCCGCATCATGAACGTCATCGGTGAGCCGATCGACGAGGAGGGCCCTGTCGACTCGACGATGATGTCGCCGATCCACAAGGAGGCGCCCGTCTTCACCGAGCAGTCGGTCGAGCAGGAGGTGCTCTCGACGGGCATCAAGGTGATTGACCTGATTGAGCCGTACCCCAAGGGCGGCAAGATCGGGCTCTTTGGCGGCGCCGGCGTGGGCAAGACCGTCGTGATTATGGAGCTGATCAACAACATCGCAAAGGTGACTCGGGGGAGCGGCGAGCGGAGAGAGTGTGGGGAAGGCGGGACGGGGGGCGTGGGCAGCACAACGCCGTCGCAAACCCACCGCTCCGCTCTCCGCAGGCCCACGGCGGTTTCTCCGTCTTTGCCGGCGTCGGCGAGCGCACGCGCGAGGGCAACGACCTGTACCACGAGATGATGACCTCGGTGCGC